AGCTTTAACAAGTTACATGCTTTTATGGTATATGTGGTTTCACCAGAGAGTGTGAGGGAGAATCGGAGGGGGTGCTAGCAGATCAACAACTTTAAGTAGAGCAACGCAACATTTAATATTGGTCTTATATGGGTGTAGTCCAAATTTTCAAAATGCAATTTGCCTCTTTGACCTCTACCCGGCCTGTGTACTGATCAGGTCCACGGATGAGCCGAAAACACACTTCATTTCAAGATTGAATGAGTATTTCATGCTGATCTCAATGATCATGCTTACTTAATTATTATAATAATTGAAATCAACTAATTCATCCTCTTTATTCTTGTCGAAATGACGAGATTGCATGTTCAGGCATAACTCATGCAAATTTTATATCAAAATTATATAATGATAAGGGCCTAAAGAAAGGAAATTGTTGGCAGTTGAACTATCATGTGGCTCCTCTCCCATCAAGCCAATATCAATCATAAATAATACTCAGCATTTAAAATTAGTAAGTTAAAACGACTCACCTATAGTTTCTAACATCTGAAAATTGTTCGTATCAGCTGTGAGGCAAAAAAGCTGTGTCATGTAGTTTGTGTGTCGCCATGGAAAACAATTTCACAATTGCAAGTGTTTACATTTGGCAACATATCAACGATGAAGTGCAAAGCTGTTCAACATTGTAATAAGGTTATTCAAACTGCCATGTGTAAGCTTGACCTGGACCCAGTCTGAATACTGATCGGGTCCGTCGACTAGTTTAATGCCCGCTTCACTTGGAACTTGACTCCATTGCATATTCTATGAACATTGTCGACAGCGCGAAACAGCCACTAATGAAACAAAAATTTAAAAAAAGAGGCAAATTTAAACAAAAATGATAAGCTAAGAACGGAAATAAATTATTTTGCTCGCGCTGCAGCGATCGCTACAGCTTTTCGATGAGCGGCACAGTGTTTGTACAAGCAATTATGTGTGTGTATACCGTGTGAGTCAAAAAAAGTTTACACCTAGACAATTGCTAATTATTTTTAAAATCGTCTATGACCAGTGAATTATTATACATTTTATGAAAGAGTGTGTTATCCCAAATCATTTAGTATCACTTTTGTGTGGAACGTGTTCACGCTTGGATGAACGGAAGGCATTGTTTGAGAGAATGCAAAAATCGACTTGCGCCAAAGAAATGCCTAAAGTAGCGGAGTGAGAGAACGAATTGAATGTATCAAATTAAATGCATTGCATATGGTTTTTGCAGAAGCAAAGTCACACACACACACACACACACAGATACGCGCGCACAAAATGTTCGTTGATATTTGATTTTCGATATTTGATATGTGGTATGGTATGATTAATATTGTTAGAGATGTTATTTGTTTCTGCATAAACCGAATTAATACCTAAATCCAAATTGTTTTATTCAAACATCACATAAGCAACTTTGGCGCAAGTCGAATTTTGCACTCACGCAAACAATGCCTCCTGTTCATCAAAGCGTGAACACATAACCCACAAAAATGATACCAAATGATTCGGGATAAAACACTCTTTCATAAGATGTATAATAATTTACTGTTCATAGATGATTTAAAAAATAATTGGTAATGTTCTAGGTGCAAACTTTTTTTGACTCACACTGTATGTGCGCGTGTGGTTGTGCGTACCTCAACGAATGGCGCCTAGTTTACACCGATACTCGTTATCAAACAATATATACATCTCACATGATATTAGGATAATAAATCACTATCACAGTTTCTGATCACCATTTTATGAAACAAATCACATGTTCTTGCATTAATAAAATCGGTCACTCTGCATGGTTGCCTTGTTAACCGTCCAAACTGTCCCCCAGATACAGCCTATTAAAGTTGATAAGCCTAAAGTATATTGTTTGTGCATTGGTAATTCATCTCCCCAATAGATAAGTGATAATGATAATACAGGGAAATCAGGATTTGTTCGATTGTTGCTGGGATCAATGTAGAAGCAACACAATCTTGAGGAACAGTATTCTTAAGCTGGACAAAATAAAGTACACGTGTATCTATAAACATTTATTTTTACCTAACAATCATTCTCTATTCACCGAGACTGAAAAAACATCAATAGAGCTATCAAACATCATTGCAATCGTTAGTAGATCCGTCCCTCCTTAAGTAGTCGCAGGTCTAAAAGAAATTTAAATGCAAGTTTTGTATTCACAACATTATATTAATGTTTGTGCTTGTAATTTGTGTTGCGTACGAAAGAAACAATAGACCCACCTTTAGTACTGTCTCAGGAATAGTAATACGCACTATATAATTCTCTTTCTCTTAATTCGATATATCTCACACTGGAATAATATGTTTCTGACATCTTCCGTAACTATTTCATTCAAATAAATGTACGGGTATTCTTAAACTTCAAACCTCAAAGAAGGCAAAGAAGGATGAACTTTTTCACTTGCGGATAATAGTTATTATCTCGACGTAGGGATGGTGGTGATATAAAAAATCGCACACAGAAATTAAAAGTCGTATGAAGTCATTTCTGCTAATGAACGTAATTTATTTTATATCATTCTCTGTAGATTGACAACTACATATCATCTACTGATTATTCTACTTCTTTACATTATACAATTTAATTTGTCGTATTTCGGTTGCAAGCCTGTGTATACATATATAATTCACCTGTGTAACGAATAACAAAGCAACAATCGAAAGATAAACCATTTTCTTGATGTTCAAGTTCGTTTAGTTCTCAAAAGCACTAGCATAAAGTGTTGTATATCCCATATCGTCATCATTAATCTCCTTCCATTATTATTATTATTAGTAGTATTATTATTAGTAGTAGTATTATTAGTAGTAGTATTAATAGTATTAGTAGTAACATTAGTATTATCACTATCATTATCATCATAATTATAATTTATTTATTACATTTTTAATTTTTTCAATTGTAATTATTATTATTATTATCGCTAACATTAATATTAGTCAATATCATTGCCATTTAACATCAATGTGAGGGAGGTTGCTATTCACTATGATTGTTAAAGGGTGTTTATTTAACCACTTATAAAAGTACTGCGTTTTTTCCAGTACCATTATACAGAGGGTGACATTGAAATATACGCCTATTGTTATTATAATTAATTGCGTTATCATTATTGTTATAATTATCATCATTATCTTTATCACCAATATCTTTTAGCCTTACCACTACCTTCATCGCCATTATTATATGATGCAGGTATACATTTATATTTTGCGAGTCATTATGGTAAAAAATCCAGGGTACCGTGCACACAAATGATTTCCATTCGGTTCTGTGTTTGTTTATCTAAACATATATTTATATATCTCCTGTTCGTATATATATATTTATAATTGAATTTCTTAATTATTTGTCACCTACTTATTTCTACACCGCTTTTTTCCCACGTTTAATTGGGTTCAATTTACATACATTTCAACAAAGGGAATACAACGAGTTTTTGCAATATGGGTTCTAGCTAGGAGTGGTACACATTTACAAGTACAATATTTATACCCTTACAACGTTTACATTTGAAAATGTTACTAAGCATGTAAATAACATATTTTCCTGATTTATTTTTCTTGAGAATATGACATATTAAAGCTTTCATTAAAAAAGTTTTATTCTAAAAGGTTTGTTTATCTAGTAAACTTTTTATTCTTGAGTTACGAAAACCAACAACAAAACAACACTTTAAAAGAAAAATACTTACCTAGAAGTATCTTTCTTTTTTTTCATTGAGGATATCTCCTTTAGTATTAACGGATTTATTGTGTATTAAATCTATCAACCAACATAGTATCGTATAATTTGATAATAACCTGCCCATGTCAAAGAAAGAAAATTATTAATTTTATTGTCAGATGATACAGCACAGATATGCAACAAGGCAAAAAGAAAGTGGCTTACCCTATCAACCAAAATGTAAGACAATGCAAGGAAATTTGTGTAATGTGTTTGTAGGAACAAAGCTGTGGAATGATCTTCCAGATGAAATTAGATTAACCCGTTGACTACTGAATTATCTAATTCCCATAGGCTTAACACAGGGACCACCAGGTTCCAGTAAGCAATGGGTTAAGACGTCGAGGTTATCTTTTCGGAAATATCTTTTCATCTACCCTCATGTAAATGACGCGGGTTTAAACCCAACTCACCCCTCTCCTTTTTTCCCTTTGAATTTACATGTCTTCTTTTTATATATGTGTGCACTTGCCAGTTAACGATTATAGTTGACCTTAAGCTTTTACTTGTACGCATATCTGTATGATTTTATTTTTTTTATTAATAAATCCTTTTCATTTCATGAATATGGTGATGATTGTATTTTTCAAAGATTTGTTATCTTTCATTATAATGTTTTAGCTCTTAACTTTGTGCGTTTTTCTTTTTTTGTTTAGAAATGTAAACAGGTTACATGATGCTCTATTATTATTTGTCTATATATGTAAATAAAACACAAACAAGATTTAAATTAATATGTACAAACACATTAAAAAAAATCTTCCCAAAGTATGGAACTGGGCTCGAGTAGCACCTGTGCCAACTTATAGTTCCCATTACCAACTTCACCTGAATATTAGTAATACACATATTAACGTGTATATCTTTTGTATATGTAATAGTATACAGATATATGTCTAAAATCGTATTTAAAACCATTACTGTTTAATCAACATTACTATTCTGCTATGTAGACATTCATCAGTATTATTCTTTGCATTATATGAATGCTCATATGTACTGTTATTATAACGGATGTGTTTTTATTTTAAATTTAGATTTAAATTCAAATAAAACTAATAAATACGTGTTTCATCCAAATGTACACATCTCCTACATACTGTACATAAAGCAAAACTGGTTTAACCTCGTCTTAAACTTATTTTAATAATAAACATAGGATATTCAAGAGATATTGGTATTTTCATATTTTTACTTGAACAATTATGCAAAAAATTCACAGAAACGCGAATTCGTTGTAATAATACAATGATATTTAGTGGATTCGGTTTATGCCAAGACAATAATTAATGCATTATGAGAAAGAAGAGGGATAAATGGTATGGTATTTCCGTATAGTGAATATTCGTGTAAATTATCAAGGAAAAGGGAATGACTGCGTGTAAGAACATCTAACAAATTGAAGGAAGTATTAGTCAAGATGTATAACGACTAAAACATTTAATACTCAGAAAATGAGGCAAAGGTGCATGCCAATACTAGGTATAAACAATGTAGACAATTAAACAGCAACACAAAGCAACAACATATTTATAAAAGAAGGTCAATAAACAAGAGTGGAGTTGTCCTATATGTATTGCTCGCCGAATCTAAAACTGGGAGTAATGTATTCAAGTTGGTTTTTCGTAGACTTCATAGCTTCGAATGGGATCTCCATTTTGTTTGAGGTATGGTTCGACATAGAGTGACTGGTCACCTCCAATGTACTTGGCATAACCGTCAGGAACGTCAGGAAGAGGGCCTCTGGATCCTTTCTCATCTTGAAAAGTGTCTTTCGATGATGTTGCTAGATCGTAGCCACGACTGTTTGAATATAAAATGAAATTAAAACAAATATTGTATTCAAATAAAATTTAATTTACTATTCAGATTTCAAATGCATCGTTAAATTAGGGGAACTATAAGTGCGCTGTTCATTATGTAAAACATTTCTAACATTTAAAAAAATTTGAAGTCAAATACATTAATGAAAGAATATCAAAGTATGTATTTTTTCATCAATATTTGTCTTCGAACGCAATTTTAGGAAATCTTTGCAGAAATGTGTCTCAAATGGCACCATCTGTTTACATTAAGATACAATTTGAGCAACATTTTGCCGTCAAATTTTTGACGAATTTGAGACTCCCAACACTTTAAAAGGGGATTTAAGGTTGCATTTCATAAACATTATCTTTCTTTTTATTTATTTAATAATGTTTCCAATTAAACAGTTATGTTGGTTCAGCTACTTTTAAAAAAGATATAAATACAATAACACAGAAACAAAAATTTTTTCCCCGCATTTTATTAGTGCTGTTATTCTGTTATATTGTTTTTCCTTCTAAGATGATACATAAAATGCATCAACAACAACGAAACCACCTCATTCCTTGTTTGCGAGGAAACGCTTTCCTAAGTACTGGTACTTTTACAAATTATGAACGCGAGCGGTGGGGTTTCAGCCTCCTTCCATAAGTCCGAGCACATTGAGTCGATTGGAATTGAGTAATTGATGTAAAATGGTTAAATGCATGGAATCAGCTAAGAGTTGATTTTCATCATGATATAATTATGTAATGCGTAAAGAGAAAAAAAACTGAACACATAATAACAAGTTATTGTACAAATCTATACATTATAGAGCACCGAAGCTGTGACATCATAACAATTTCGTTATATAATTTCTCAATTTTTTCTTCATTTTCCAAAAGAGCATCAAAAATAATGTCCGAATGTCGAAAACCAGTTGAATATATAAAGTATTGGCTGAGATATGGCCCTCTGAATAAGTAAATGTTCTATGGGAACTCAGTGTTATAGTGCTCCGGTTCCTAATGTTATGAACAAGAGCACTATAACACTGGGTTCCCATAGGACTTTTTTTTCTTCAGATGGTTATATCTCAGCAAATGCTTAATATATTCAATTGGTTTTAGCCATTCGGACATTATTTTTGATGCTTTTTCAGAAAATAAGAAATTCTAAAAATAGTTTTTTAACGACATCACTCTTCACCACTCTATACGATTATTATAATAAACATTTACTTACTTTCTCACGAAAATAACAAACGCAGCCATACACATGAGAACAAGGATGAATAAGATGACAGCTGTAACCAGAAGACCGGTGATAAAGTAATCCCTTCCCTTTTGCTCACTACTATAATTTACCATGCGATCTGGAAATGTAGGTTTTCTTCCTGTAGATATAAGTAATTTAGTTATAAGCAAACACCAATTATCAAGATATATATTTGTATCAAATTTCAGTAATTGAATTTGGATGCGTATTTTTATTCGTATTCTAATTTGTGTTTGTTTTTGTATTTTGTATTTTTGTTTTGTTTCAATTTGTATTTTCATTTGAATTTGTATTTTTTTTCGTATTTGTATTTGCATTATTCCATTTCCATGTGCATCATTTACATTTTTATTTTTATATGTATTCTTCTTCGTATTTCTATTCGCTTTTGCAAATGTTTGTATCTTTGTATATATATATATATATATATCATTAATATATGTGTAATTATATTCTTTATTCATTTTTGTATTTTTTTCCTCCAGATATTCGTTAAAAACACACCAAAAAACAGCTAATTCCTGTACATGATTACAGCAGCCCCGTAAAATATGTTAAACAAAATAAAAAGATAACAAGATAAATGCTCATAACAAAAAGTTTTGCATGAAAGAAATACCTGGACAAAATAAGTAGGGAGGTAAATAATAAGCGATAATAACAAAATTCCAAATTAGTAAATTGATGCAGTATTATTTCTAATTTGCAAAGAGAAGAGCTTAATTTGTAAAGGAGTATCCCTTTTCCCTTTACATTTTGTTTTTCTTTCCCATCTTATGTCTAAAATGATTTGGCTTTTGTTATTCATCACCGTGTTTTACTCGGTCTTTCAAAAGGAAATATATCATGCAACATAAGAGCTAGTGTAAACTCTCCCTAATTTGTGGCGACAGAGAGGCTTTCTCTTATATTACTTATATTTACATGTAAAAGGACCAGTTTACATTCATTATTTTTAATCTTTTAGTATGCAACATATTAAGATGATAATCATTTACAGCATAATTATTATAACATATAATACAAGATCGTTATCATAGTCTGGTACCACACACACTATGCATATGACGGACAAAGAAAGAGGACAAAATGTACAGTTCCTCATTCTACCCTCAACAATTGCTGTGGTAGACAAAGGAACATCCCTTCACTGCTATTATATAAAAAAATGTGTAGAACAGATGTCACATGCATATTCACCTGTTCTACACATTTTTACATAATAGCAGTGAATGAATGCTCCTTTGTCTACCACAGCAATTGTTGAGATTAAAATGAGAAACTGTATATTTTGTCCTCTTTCTTCGTCATATTCATAGTGACATTATCCCCGTATATCAGACATTTCTAGGTGCATAATAACCTCCGGTAGGTGGACAATCAGTAGAGCACTGGACAGAATTTCCTCGCCACAAGCCATCTGTGTGACATTCCCAAGCGAACCAATCAGAGTCGTCGTTACATGTGATGTTGACTTGGTCACCAATCTTGTAGCGAGGCTTAACATTTTTCATGAATGAGACGACGGGGATGATTGGTGGATTGCATTCTGCAAATTAAATATTTACACATTGCGATTAGGGTATACTTTTACAAAAAGAAGAAATTTGTAGATTATTCAAATTCAAAGGCTTCTTCCAAGACTCTTCAATTATTACAGCACAATAACCATTAAGGGAAGCCTCTTTCGAGCGTGTAGTTGCCCCAAAAAGTGCAAATCTTTGATGATTGAAAATGGGAACTACAGAGTGAGTCATGATTGTCTGATGTTCACTCATGCATGCAGACATTCAAATGAAAATGGTACCTAAATGTACTGGGAGGATAACTGTATCAAGACATATCATGAAACCCATCATTAATTATTCACTTCAAACAATACAACTTTTAAAAAAAGTGGGACATTTTTTTCTGACTTACTCTGTATGTTTCAATTGTAAACGAAGTTGCCTTGATCATGCACGGTACAAACTGTCCAACAAACACACACACACACAAACACACACACACACACTCAAAAAATAGATAATAACAATTTTTGAAGGGCACTTTACACATTAGCTCTTATCCTCATGTCATGTTTTTATAATCATGGTTATTAAAAAAAAAATGATTATGCCTTCGTCTTGCAATTGTTAATGTCCCGGTAATTGTCAGGCACCTATATGTACATGTGTTCGAAGGACGTTAGTAGCGGGATGGGATTCGATCCATCAACCCTTCCACGGAGAGTCAATTGAATGAAGCCCTATACCACCTTACATCTACATCTTTATTACATGACATCACTTTATGACGGGTAGCTTTTAAAAAAAGCATGTTTTGCATACCTTTGGGAGGGTCAGGGCAAACTATGTTTTGGCCTATCCATATTCCATCGTCACATGACACGTCGAACCAATCAGAACCCACGTTACATGTCACGTTCATCCTGTCACCGTCTTTGTATGAGAGACGAAGATTCTGAATGGTTGAATCAATAGGCACTGCTGGTGCACTGCAGGAGGCATGTGATAGAGAAACTGTGGAGAGAATATATGAAAATAATCTTATGGTGACCACGAGGTACTCTACTAATGGGAAGCGTTGGTTCATATTTTAGGAATTCTTTAGGATATTTAAATTTGTGACGTTCATAAAATAATCAATGTGTTAAATAAAACACAAAAACTATTGAACAGGTGATTTCAACCTCTCTCAAAAATACCTGTACGACTCTGCTCAGTAAAGACAAGTTTTATGACTCACACAGAACCAATATTCTTCAAGATATTTACATTAGGTATTGTTCCTTGTAATGGCAATTCAAGCGTTTTAAAGTTTGGGGTAGCAACACATAAAAGGAAAACAATATTTATATATAAAAAATAGATTTCAATCCACAGATACTACTAATCACGGTTAAAGCTATTCATCCCTGGCATATGTTGAGGACAATGGAATAAATAATAATAATAATATTTCCCCTTATTGGTGAGGTTTTCTGTGAAAAGGGAAATAAAATCGAAGAGATGAAAAAAAAAAAAAAAAAGATGCACTGAAAACGGTACAGTTCTAAAACAGAATTAAGTTTTATATTTACTTTGTATTTTTTGTTTAATAACAAAATATCACGTTCTCCGGAACAAATGTTATTCTAAATTTCAGTGATGTTTCAGTTATGTTACTTTTATATTTATATTGTTATATTTTCCCGGGCCCCATTTATGCCATGGTTATGGAAATGGTAGTGGTGATGAATGGAAGAAGAACATGATGATGATGACGACGATGATGGTGGAAACAAAGGAGTATAAGAAAGAAAAGATTCCAGATACAATACCCAAAATATATTTACTTACATGAAGGTGGTATTATCGGCAATGTCGGTGCTGCACAAGATATATCAGGGCCATTCCATAATCCACTTGCCTGACACCGTAAGGTAAATTGATCACTGTTCGTGTCACATGTCACTGTCACTCTGTCATCATAGTTGTAGTTCAAATGATGACTTTCAATCGACGAATATCTCGGAATATGAGGTGCACTGCACAGTGTTGGAGCTGTCATATTCACATCATTCGGGGGAAAGAAGAAGACAAGTTAAAAACTGAAACCACTGAAACCTCAACATAAAACATCACATTATACAGTGCGTCCCAAAATAAACGAAACCGAGAATTATCGATGGTTTATCATAACCTAATCACAATTATAATTAATAAATTACACATATCTGTAAAGCTTAGATCCTCTTCTTTCATGTGATGCAAGTCATATGATGCATGTTTCACGCATGATTGATTAAAATCAATTTGAAGAGAGGGAACCAAAAAGTAATTTGGCGGACTGTTTTTTTTTTTCAAAGGGAAAATCACATTTCTAGAAAGTTCAGTTTCTGCCCTTTCAAATGGCACTTCAATCATGAAAAATGAGCAACGAATATCAACGTTCTGTTTATTTAAAGTTATGCTTGCATTTCCATAATTTGATTTAAAAGGTTCGTTTTCACTGGCTGCACACCGTAGCAACAAGCAGAATTGAAAAAATACTCAACTCCGTTTCGTTGACAATCAGCCATGCATAAAGTATTTCGTCTTTGTCTGATCGTGAACGAAATGGAGTTAAGTCTTGGATTATTTTGTTGAAGTTTTGCAATACCCAATATGAAATAAGATTCATGATTATAAACATAAAAGAAGTTTTGTTTATTTCAACGTACATAATTATAAAATGATTTAGTTATTTAAATGGATGATGAAAATGCCAATTATGAATCTATTCAACTGTTGGAATTAAAAACCCTCTCTATTGTTTTTAATTATGATCCATATTGCATTGTTGGCATTACGAAACATCAACCTTTTGTAGTAACGGAACTTTGGAACAGCCATCACAATGTTGAGCCTTCGGACTCGCTTTGAAACGTTGAATAAAAAAAGAATTCGCATAATTAATCCCATGTGCGAGTTATTGAATTAACATTATAAAAGGCCGTTCATTACTTAATCTGCATATGACCTGATGCAGAACAATATAACCTGTCATGCATTTAATGTTCACCTCAATTTGGTCACAGACCGTTTTAGATTCTCTTCAATTCAAGTTCGATTACTCTAAATGTTACAAGAAAAGGAAATGAAATGCTTTGTCCATCCTATCTTTTTTATATTCTGTTTTCCCCACTCATCTATGTATGTAAATTTGATTAATTTTGTGTATAATGTGCAATATATTGAAGTTTCCATTATTATCATTGTTATCATTGTTAATTAATTCATTGAAGTAATTTGTGATCGTTTCAGTATTAATGTATTTGTAATTTCTCTTTATTTCTTTGAACTTTGTAATCTTTGTTTGTATCAGTCTCCCGACTGTTTGAACATGGATTTTTGACTCAATAAACCGAAATGAATGAATCGATTTAATAAATAATTATTTAAACATGGCCGACAGTCACAGTCTAAAATCGGAAATGCCTCTATAGTGAGGCTAAAAGCAATATTAATACTATTTGAACAAACAAAAACACATTTAAAATTGAATGTAATAGAAACAAAAAATAGACTACTTTAATAATATTGAATGAACACAAATACCACACTGCATTCAGTAACAAATATTGCACGATACTAAATAATGAAAAGGCAAGAGGAAAAAGGTCACACGAAGGAATATATTTCTATAGAAGGCAAAAATTGTAGGCAACACCAAAGGATGTATAACATATTGAGGAGTGGAAGAATGAAAATGGAACATGATAGACAGGTGGAGAATAGGGATATATATGGAGAACGGTATACATACATATATAATTACACATGCAAAGATTAAAAAAAGAGAATGAGGATGGTAAAAAAATTGAGTTCCTTCTTGATAAATAGTAAAAAATCTACTTATTATCATGAATATTTAATTTTTGGTTAAAGTAAATCGAGCACATTGCCGTATTAGTCAGATAAAAATCAAATATCTTACGTTTGGCTGGTTCTTGGCAAGACATTTCCGGTCCACTCCAAATTCCACTGTTGTTACAATGGAGGGTAAAACGATCGTTGCTTGCATCACAGGTTACAATCACGTCATCACCTGAGTTGTAGGTTATTCGGTAGAATGCATTGGTAGAATGTCTTGGAATAACGGGAGCACTGCATTGAGATGGAGCTGATAGTAAAATGTTACATAAAGTCATTGGAAAGTGAGGTTCAATGCAACAAGGAAATCACGTATGTAGCATAAGAACATGAATAAATAATCAGGTAATAGCAAAGACAGCATCAGTAATATAACGAACAAAATAAAATACAACTGTCAATAGCATTGTTAAGCCTAGTCTAGCACAGACAACGATGATATTAGAATAGAAATGTGAAGTCAACACTATACACATCTGTAAAGCACCTTACACATAATATTGCCCTTATTATATTGAGCATTATTTCCAGCTCCTCAGCAGGTATTCTCATCAATTATTCACAATGACAATTTAATACCTCAATGAAATCGCAGTCTGTTCCAGGTAAAATAATAGATAATCTTATTTTTCCCCGAAAATTAAGTATACAAAATGTATCAATGCTTAGACAAGGATATTGATACATATACATGACCATGTTGATTGTGTAGTTATAACAAAATATACAGACATCAATAATATTTGTTAGGATCCCACACACATACATACATAATTATTCAATTTCTAAAAATATGTCTTTTATAGTATCGTTAAATAATAATAACACAAGCTTAATTTTACATCACTCTGGTACACGTCAATGCCTTAGTTCACGCGAACGGACAAGTCCCATGTCTAAAATTTGCGAGCAGTCCACAAAATTACAGTTTCACTGTGTTAACATTCTATTTTGTTTTAGATACATCAGGCATTTAGAGCAATTTTATTTATGTTGGTCAAATTCTGTTTTAAAATGCAACTCTCACAATTGGCACAGGATCTGGATCTCATTTCAAATTCATTATATCTCCACTATCATGACCATTGATTTGGGGCTCGTATTATGAGAAGAGCGGTCGAATTATAAAAAAAAAGGGGGGGGGGTAAGTGAATGCAATCAAATCAAAATTGAAAGTCTTACCTAGGGTAGGTACGGGACAAGAAACCTCCTGGCCACTCCATTGGCCTTTTGTGTCACACCGAAGGGTAAACTGAGCAGTGCTGCTGTCACATGTCACAGTAATACTGTCACCATGGTCATAATTCAGTTGCAAGTCCTGAATGGTTGCATATCTTGGAACGTAAGGGGCACTGCACTTCTCCGGAGCTGTTAAGAAAATCAAGTAAAGATGATCATAGGTACAGCAAACATTTATCTACATTAAATGTCAATAGAGTATTATCTGATTTTATCTTTAAGTGTAAACGGAGTTAACAAAAAAGGTAAGATGCTGCTGAGTGATAAAAGGGAAACAATAAAGAGGTTGCATGATATATTATGTTGACCACAACCACCATCGACAACAATTGTTATATTAAACATACACGTGAACGCGTAGGAACATTGGGGTGCTAAATATTATGTATTTATTTACAAGTTGACAAGTGATAGGTGGGTGGCTCATTGAATAATGATTAATGATTTATGATTAATTAATAAGACATAAAGCGAACCTTCTATCGGCGGTGAGCAAGAATGAACGCCACCCGACCAAAACCCATCTGAGTTGCACTGAAGGGTAAACGACCCATCTGTTCTGCTGTCACAGGTGATTGTTACACTCTCACCGATGCTGTAGGCCAAACGTACGTTTTCAGCTGATGCATACTTTGGGATATATGGACTAGTGCATCGTGTAGGGGCTGTGAATGGAAATGCAAGACGTATGTTTATTAAAATAACATTAATAGTTTAGACAGAGAAAGTAATGATCAATATCTACAGTTCAAAGTAGGAGCTGATGTATTGATAAAATAATGTACACGCTACAATTATGAATATTGTCAAACAGTTTTACGGCCAATATTGCAGTGACCAAACTCTTACCCTACTAAACGTCCCGACTTAAACTATTAATACCGATCTCCATCTGATGCTTCGGCTAGACATAGCCTTAATGTTAATCACAGGTCTCGATCGATCCGACGGTTCTAGGACACCTACCCCCTTGACATCCCCCGGATAACCAACCCGCAGTCAGCTACCCCGGAGCATTTGTCCTAGAGGGTGGTTGCCCTAGGGGGTAGTTGTCCTAAGGGGTAGTTGTCAGGGGGAAGTTGTCCGGGAAGTAGTTGTCCGGGGGTAGTTGTCCCGGGTGATAGTCGTCCTAGAGGGTGGTTGGCAAGGGGGTAGTTGTCCTAGGGGGTGGTTGACTGGGGTTGTTATCCGGGGGTGGATGTCTAGGGGTAAGGTGTCCGGATACGCTATTCGACATTCTGATAATAAGCCCTGATTAAAATGTTACCTGATCATAAGTCGGGTCTCCAGTTGCGTGCCCATTCATTTACTTTGTTAATGTTCTAGTACATTCGCAATTATATTGCTATTGGTCAAACTGGGCTTGAAATTTGGACTCTTACAATTTGCAAATTAACTGGCAGTTTTCTCTGGATCTAATTTCAGAATTCTTCTATCTCCCCTCACCATCATGACCATTGATATTGGGCTTGTATAGTGCGAAAGCCAATCGAAAATTGGGAGGGGGGGGGGGTGTTCAGACGAAAACAATGAATCAAATCAATTTACAATTTTAAAAAGTCTTACCTGAGGTTGGTACGGAACAAGAAACTTCCTGCCCACTCCATCGACCTTTCGTGTCACACCGAAGGTTAAACCGAGCACTGCTATTGTCACATGCCACAGTAATGCTGTCACCATACTCATAATTCAGTTGCAGGTTTTGAATAGTTGCATATCTTGGAACGTAAGGGGCACTGCACTTCTCCGGAACTGTAAAGAAAATCAAGTAAAGATGATAGTCGATACAACAAACATTTATCTACTTGAACTGTTATTTGAGTATATCTCTGGCCGTAAACGGGAAACACAAAGTATAATGTTGTTGAGTGTAAACAGAAAGCACTAAAGTGGTTGGATGCTATATTCTTTTGACTACAACCATGAACAACAACAACTGTACAGTAAATTATAAACGTGTGTGAGTTGGGGCTAAGGTATTATTTACACGTTTTCGAACATTGATAGCTTGGTAGATAAATTAATAATGATTAATGAATAAATGATTAATAAATAAATATAGCTAACCTTCTATCGGCGGTGGGCAAGATCGGACATTACCCGTCCAAAACCCATCTGAGTTGCACTGAAGGGTAAACGATCGGTCTGTTCTGCTGTCACAGGTGATTGTTACACTCTCACCGATGCTGTAGACCCAACGTATGTTTTCAGCTGATGCATACTTTGGGATATATGGACTAGTGCATCGTGTAGGGGCTGTGAAAGGAAATGCAATTCGTACGTTTTTTTTAAATATCATTTGTAGTTTAAACAGAGAAAGGTATGATTAAATACACAATTTACACTAGTACCTGATTTACAGATACCACATGTACGTGCTAGAATTATAAATAATATCAAACAGTGTTACACTAATACCGCAGCAATCAATCTCTAACCCTACGTACTGGACCTCCTAGCTTTAACTATTAACATCTATGTCTATTGTTGTTGTTCAAACTCTGCTGGAAAAAATTCTTATTCGCTCAGAAACTGGCAGTTTTCCCTGGATCTAATTTCAGTTTTCTGCTATCCCCCTTTACCGTCAGGGCCATAAATAGTGGGCTCGTAGATTGCGAAAGCTAATCGAAATTGATGGGGGGGGGGGGAGTTTCAGACAAAAACGATATATCAAATCATATTCAAATCAAATCAATTAAAAATAAAAAAAGTCTTACCTGGGGTAGGTACGGGACAAGAAACTTCCAGGCCACTCCATATACCTTTCGTGTCACACTGGAGGTTAAACCGAGCACTGCTATTGTCACATGTTACAGTAATGCTGTCACCGAAGTCATAATTCAGTTGTAAGCCTTGAATGGTTGCATGTCTTGGAACGTAAGGGGCACTACACTTCTCCGGAACTGTACATAAAATCAAGTAAAGATGATAGTTAATACAAAAAACATTTATCTACTTGAAATGTTATTTGAGTATATCTATTGACGTAAACGGGAGGAATAAAGTATTATGTTAATGAATGATAACAAAAAACAATGAATTATTTGGATGCTATCTTCTGTTGACCACAACCACCACCGACAACAATTGTTAAGTTAAATATAGACGTGAACGCGTAGGAGGATTCTGTTAAATATTATGTATTATGTACAAGTTGATAAATGATAGGTGAATAGCTAATAGAATAGTGATTAATGAATGAATGAATAATAAGTAAAGCTAACCTTCTATCGGCTGTGAGCATAGGTGCTCTATATATTAGGTATTATTTACAAGATTTTGACAATTGATAACTTAACGTAGATCAATGAATAATGATTAATGAATAATAAATAAAGCTTTAACATGTGGGGGTTTGAGTCATACGAAAACAATGATTCAAATCAAATCAAATTAAATAAATTTACAATTTAAACAAGTCTTACCTGGGGTAGGTACGGGACAATAAACTTCCAGGCCACTCCATATACCTTTCGTGTCACAACGAAGGGTAAACTGAGCAGTGCTGCTGTCACATGTCACAGTAATGCTGTCACCGTAGTCATAATTCAGTTGCAGGTTTTGAATAGTTGCATGTCTTGGAACGTAAGGGGCACTACACTTCTCCGGAACTGTAAAGAAAATCAAGTAAAGATGATAGTTGGTACAAAAACATTTATCTAGTATAATGTTGTTGAGAGATAACAAAGATAAAATTAAGTGGTTGGATGCTATCCTTTCTTTTTACCACAACCACGAACAACAACAAATGTACAGTCAATTAAATACGTGTGTGCGTTGGGGCTTAGGTAATGTTAACAAGTTTGTTAACATTGATAGCTGGGTAAATGAATAATGATCAATTAATACATGATGAATAAATAAAGCTAACCTTCCAACGGCGGTGGGCAAGACTGGAAACCACCCGTCCAAAACCCATCTGATTTGCACTGAAGGGTAAACGACCCGTCTGTTCCGCTGTCACAGGTGATTGTTACACTCTCACCGATGCTGTAGACCAAACGAA